TACAAATTCATAAGTATCTTGTTACAACTCAGGGCACAGATACCTCTGAACAGTAGGAAAAACACACTTTTCTTCTAATTAGATCTTCAAATAGGAGTATGAGTGGTATGAGAAGTACTTTCCCTTCAAAAAAACTAGTATCTTTTAGAGATGCAGAAGAAAATCCCCTCCTATAAAGCTACTCTTTGGCTAACTAGAATCAGTACTTTGAACTTCTGAATGATTTGAAACACGATTACCCAAGTTACAACACCATCTCTCCCCCCATGGGCATCTGTTTTAGCTGCAGTCTGTTGGTGGTGGTTCGCAGTCAGTGAACGTAAATAAACTTTCCGAAGTAAGCCACAGGTTTCATCCGTAGCATCACTGTCTTTGGCATCCGTTGCTTTTGATGACGTGGCCAAGCCTTGCTTTGGACAGCTTTCTCCAATACTGCAGTTACTGCTTGCTTATTTCAGTAGTTCGTTAACCCTGCTTGGGTTGTCATGGACTTGTTTTTAGTTGCATGATTTCTCATATAGCTGATAAGGCACTGGAACACGTTGCCCAGAGAAGTTGTTGATGCCCCATCCTTGGAAGTGTTCAAGGCCAGGTTGGATGAGGCTTTGAGCAACCTGGTGTAGTGGAGGGTGTCCCGGCCCATGGCAGGGGGGTTGGAACTAGATGATCTTTGAGATCTCTTCCAACCCTGACCATTCTATGATTCTATGGTTAACGTGTCCCCTTTTAGAGAACCTGTTTGTGTTTAAATCATTGAAACTGCCTCAGTGACAGGATCTGTACATGTTGATATACCAGTAAATGTTTGAATACTTCTTTCATACGGGAGCTAGAACGAGGGCTTTCTGTAAAGGAATTAGCCAGGGTTTGTGTATGTACTTTTCTGAGCACAATTTGCTTACCAGAACAATGCTAATCTCTCTTTGAGGTACTATTCTATTTCTGATTATAGAAAATAAAGTCCAGTTGTGTGGTAGATAAAAAAATCAAAACCAAACAAAGCAACAGCAACAAAACACCCTGAAATTCCCCCCCAAACATCAAAACAACAAAAAAACCAACTTGAAATTAATAATGTTACTTTTTATTGCTTTTGAAATAACACCATTTTGGCAAGTTCCTGTGTGTTTTTACGCTATTGACTGATACTTTGATTTCAGGCTGAGGAGTCCTGTAAATGCAATGGCTGGAAGAACCCCAACCCGCCTCCCACGCCGCCAAAAAAAAACCGGGGGGCGGTTCCCCGCCGCCCCGCCCCCGGCCGCAGCTGCAGCCACGCGCTGGGTAAGCTTTTGCCTTTCTCCTGCGATCCGCGGGCTTATACCCAGAAGTCTCCACTCTTGGGAGACGAAAGTCGAGATACCATGCCAAGACCTAGAAATGGGAGTTACAATTGGACATGAATATCAATTAACTTAGATTAAAATACGTTGGAAATAGCCTACAATGTGTTTTGAAGAAATTGACCTAAGGTACAACTTCTAACAACCCGGATATCTTAAGCGGTTGTCCTGGTTTTCCTGGGATAAGATCATAGAATCAATTTTTCTGTTGAGAAAAGCAACATTTCTAAAGTAAGCTGCATTTTTGAGAAGACTGCAGCACCCTAATAGGTGAGAACAAAGTTGGTAAGACACTTTGTTTTAGTTTGTAGCCAGCCATGGTGTGCAGGTATCCGTAGGGATCAAGGGGTCTGCAGTTTGTATTTGCTAACAGCTCAGATGCACAGGAACTTGAGGGGAGCAAGGCCGGGGCAACTGACACCTGAATTGGCAAATGGGTATTCCATACCGTGTAAACAGCATGTTCACTCTAAATTGGACAGTTGCTTGGGGATGTGCTCTCTTCCTCGATGGTCACTGTCCCTGGAGGGTCTCGCCCCTCATTCTGCTCTCGAGACCTACTCTCTGTCTGCTGAGATTGCAGTTTTGGGATGTTCCTGCTCTGGGATCACTAGCTGGGAACGGGCTATATACTGGTCAAGGGGTGGTGAGCCATTGCACCATAGATCGCTTGTCTGTATATATTATTATTATTATTATTATTGTTAATATTTTCCATTTGATTTTATTTCAATTATTAAATAGTTGTTATTTCAATGCATGGGTCCTCCTTTTTCCCGATTCCGTTCCCCTCCTTGAGTGGGGAGGGGTCATGGGGTAGAACAGCTGGCTGTTGTTTATCTCCAGATATAGGCTATATGTAGACAGTTGTTAAAATGCAAAAGCACTGTTAAGCTACCTGTACAATTTTAATACTTTGTGTAACATGTGCATTAACTTCATGTTGTTTTATCTACCATCTGCCTTAGACACAGGCAAGTGAATGACTCTCTCCTGTAGGCTGTATTACGTTTTCTTACTGTAGAATAAACTATAAAATATTCTTGAACAATGCTAAAGCAGGTACTCTTATCTACAAAAAGAACTGTGCCTTTTCCATGTCACAGAAAATAATACTGGGGTTGTGCATGTTAGCATTTTCTAAGTTATTGTGCAGACAGCTTGCATATTGTGGGAGCAACTGCTCAAAATCCATTGTTGAATACTGTTGAGGGGTTTGGTTTTGTTTTGTTTTGTTTTCAGGCTAATAGTAAATAATGATTTGTTATGCACATAGCCTGAAAAAGAGTGGTGAATCACTGTATTATTTGTTTAAGAAATTGTGCTTATCCAAAATAAATTCCAAGGACTTTTTCTGTATACATTAGCAAACACTGAATAAAAATTGAGCTAAAATAAAATTCAGAACTAGTTGAAAAGAAGCAGTTACTATTTAATTTTTGTTGATGTCCAAAACTTAGGACAGTGAAATAGTAAAAGGGAAATCTAAAACCTTCACAATGGATCATTTATTTTTTTACTTTTGAAAAATAACATTATACTTTGTGTGGAATGCTTTTTTATTTTTTTTTAATTGGGATTTATTTCTATTTCTACTCTCTTTTCTTTTTATGCTCTCACTACATTTGATCCATTTCTGGCCTTTTCAGCAGATAAATGATTCTATGATAAATGATTTCGCAATATCCCAAATCTCTGGTTTTGCTTGCAAGAGAAGTTTAACAAATGCGCACAGTATCACAGAAAGTTCAATTGCTTAGCCAAGTTATTTTCAACCTTTCATCATGCAGCTTCTCTGTTGCTTTTGGTTATGCAGTTAGCTTCTGTTACCCATCCCTTTCATTGTGGCCTTTGAAGAAAGAGGTATTTACTTTTTAATTTTTTTCTTTTTTTAAATCTTACGAGATGTTGTGTCTGCCAGTTCCCTGTTCATCAGCAGAATTTATTTATGTATGCTATGTATTTTGTAGAAAAACTCAACTCTTCTAAAGGCTGAGACTGTTTATCGTCTATTGAAAAATCTGGAATCACTCATTAACTAGGCAACTAGGGAAACCCAGTATTGTAAAACCAGTGCCAGTGAAACGTACCTTATGAAACAAACTGTGGTTTTAGTTATTGCTGTTTTTAGGAAAGGTAAAGTTTTTTAGATTCTACTGAGTGGAGTTAATGAGGATGATGTTTCATTTGAAATAACTGAAATGAGTTGCTGTCTGCTTCATCATACTACTGGCAAAAATGTGTATTTCAGCAGTGTTTGCCAAGATAATTTTCCTGTTCATCTCCTCTAAATTACCGTATTCCTGCCGAATGCCTTTAAAACCAGACTGACCACAGGTGTGCAGGCTTCAGATTTTCATCTACGTTGCCTTTTCTCTTCCTCAGAGAGACGCTGAAATAGCGATGAAGAAATTCCTGTACTGGTTAAAACAATACCTGATGTAAAATGTAGCATGTTCAGAGGGTTTTTTTTCCTTTTTTTTTTTTAATTGATTATTTTTTTCCAAAGGTAATCTTAGGCATTATTCTTGCTTGAGACATCTCTTTTTGAGGGTATGATTCGATCTTCAAGGCAGTGCGGTTTTTGGTGTATAAGTCTTTTTGCTGGTGCATATTAGCTTACCCAGCCTATTTCTGTTGACTTACCTACAAATTCTATTATTTTTTATATTCTTTTTCTTGTATTCTGTTTACTTACCTACAACTTGTATTTTTCCATTTGTGGCTCAACCCCACAGCTTGGATCTATACTGGGTTTTTAATGAATATTTCTTTTATTTGGGTGACGTATTGTGTCGCTACCATAACACTGTGAAGTGGTGACTGAATTGGGTACCTGGATAATTCACTATTCTCCAGCCTCAAGATCAGGTGTTACATAGTCAGAGGCTCTTTTCTCTTTTGTATTTGATTAGTTTCTCCTGTGTTACAGGGTGCGTTTTCCTGTTGGTAAACATTCTCCGTCTTGGGTCACTTTTAAAACTAGTTAATTAATGTGTTAGTATGCTATGTATACATTCAATTTCTCTTTTTGTCCCAGCACTGTCTTCATTTCGTGCTATGCACCTTCACGTAGAGTACTTGGGTGTTTCTTGATTTGCCTTTCCTATATACATTACTAATGTTCTTATGTACACACTGGTTTTGAGATAGACTGTGGACACATTCTTCATTAATCTGTTTTCTCGCTGCTCCTAATTCATACACTCAAGTACTGTCTTATTGAAATGGCACAACTAAAATAATTCATTTGCTGTTTTTCAGATCTTCATATGCATTGCATCGATGTTGCTCTTTCTGCTTGCTTTCTCCTGCATGCTGTAGCAACCTATACGTGTGATTTTTTTCACTTTTATTTTTTATTATTTTTTGCAAGCATAACAGCAGCTGAGGAAGGGTGTACTGGTTGGGCAATGCAGATGAATGGGTCCGTGTAACTCTAGTCAAGAGTAACGCGGTATTTGATGTCAGTGTACTAAAGCTTTGATTTTAATAAAAGATTTACTAATGGCCGCAAGAGTTTGGGAATGGGCTGTGAACATCTGAAGAAAGATAGTTTGTTGGGCTAATGTACAAATGTTGGTGACTCTACAGTAAATGGTAACCAATAATAAATATATTTTGGTAATATACTCATGTTACTTTTAGACTCGCCATATGGGTAATAATTCTCTAGTTTAATTAAATATTTAAATACAGCCACTAAATAGTCAAGGTAACTTTAAGTATTGTTATGGAAACTGTGTGGAAATGGCTTCTTATACTGATATTTTATTCATTTGTTAGTTGCGTGCAAGATTTCTTTAGTATTTTATCAATTTCTAATGCAATGCTCATCTTGAAGGGTATTTATTACTTTTACAAGATCAGAGCAGACAACTGAGAATATTAAACCTTCATATCTGGTTCAAGGACAGAAATGAAATAGTTTTATTCTGCCCAGAATGCTGAATATTTGTCCTTAAAGAGAGCTCATGATGGCCATCCCCCTTTCAGTTCTGAGGATATGCTCAGAACTTAAGACGCTATGTTATAAATGTTCATTTAAGTGGAAACAATTGCTGGCATCTTTTTAATGTTCTGAGCTATGGGTTCTTTTTACTTGAAGCTGCACAGATTTATTGAATTTAAACGTTTGGCAGGTGTCATACCAAACTTCCCAAAACAAACCATCTTTGCTAGGTGGCCAATAAATATGATCATTTTCAAGTCAATTGTTATTCCTCCTCACTTCCTCCCCAACTAAGGAATCAGATTTCTATTGAAAATTTCTTACCAGTCCCAATCACATTGGCATATATAAGATAATATCATAATTATCTAAGAAGAAAATATTGATAAAAGGTATTAAAATAGAAAAAAAACTAATATGCCCAACCTTTTAAATAATTTTCCTTTTCTTTTAAAGGATATTTTCTGTCCTTTCAGAGGAAAGCATATGCATACCATGTACATTGTCCTGGAGTCAGTGAAAGTCGTTGTTTTTTGTAATGCAAATATCTCTTTCTGGGAATTGACTTTTTGTTTTCAATTTCCTTCTCTCTTCCTGGGGCTAGTTGTTCAAACTAGCTTGAAATGAATGTCCCACTTTCTGTGTACAAACCGAAAGCTTTTGAAAATTACAGATACGGAACTGTATTTACCTTTGGAGATGATAAAAGGGAGTTTGTCACTTGGAAATGATGATACCTTGCAAGATGCTGTTTTGTAAACTTCTGAACAAATAAGCATGTACAATCTGCAAAAGCTTTGCTAATATAGCGCACAAAGCATGGTTTGACCTTACGTGATATGAAAGTAAAAGACTTAGCCAATAATGTCTAGTTTAAAACAAAAAGCCTATTTATGTAGCTGATTATTTTTTTTTTTTTACTCTTCAGAGAATAAGGTGCATCAACACCTTATGGTTTGATGGGAATTTGAACTTATTTTCTTTAGTCAAAAAACCTTGTTTCAGAAGCATAGCTCTTGGACAAAAATGTTTGTAGTTGTTTATATATTGCAACATATGAATACAGACTGGACTTGTGTGGTCTGTTTTAAGTGTTAACAGATGCTGGGATTCCAACCAGCTGTCATTCCTCTGCTGTGGTAATTAGCACCTTCGCCTACCTTTACACGTTGCTTCGATGTGACACGTATTTCAGTTACCTCTGATAAGACGTTCTGTTTATAAATAGGTTGTTACAGCATCAGTGCCCTCACTATTATGGCTTAGTTTGAGCTATCCTGGGGAATACTTGTGCTGTTGGTTCTCTCAGTAGGGTTTTTACAGGTTTGGATTTTTATTTTGTTCAGCTGCTCATGTTTCTCACCTGGAGAATGTGTCTGAAGAAGAAATGAATAGGCTCCTGGGGATTGTATTGGATGTGGAGTATCTGTTCACCTGCGTCCACAAAGAAGAAGATGCAGACACCAAGCAAGTTTATTTCTACCTGTTCAAAGTAAGCTGAACTTGTGTAGTATCTTCTCAAGTTTTTCACTCTCTCACACATAAGCCAATTTCACTGCCCCTCATGCATGTATTGACTTTGTCTGATGAGACTTTTTTTCTCTAGTGGGTAACTATGGGCTAGATGTTCTGGTACTTGCCATGTACCATATCTTACTCCAAATGTCATCCCGATGATTGAGGAGCGGACCCTGCGTCCTGTCTATAGACTGCACAACCTGCAAGCCTTTCACTCTTCTCTTACACACTGGGAAAAGTCAGTTAACGTAAATGCTAACTTATCTGCTTATGTTTGCTTGGAGAAGCCTCCTGTTCACATTTCAGAGAAGGTGAATTCATGGTGAAGTTACATAACTATTAATTTGACTGACTAAACAAGCAGATCTATAGCCAGGAGATTTTCAACACTGCTTGCAGTATGTTGTGCACCTGTGAATTCCATTGACCCTATGTATGCAGATATGCTTAATTTTTAAAAATTTGTGTGTTTGTAACAGCTTTTGAGGAAGTGCATTTTACAGATGGTAAAACCTGTAGTAGAAGGATCTCTGGAAAGTCCCCCATTTGAGAAACCTAGCATTGAACAGGTAAACATTCAAAACGTGGGTTTGGTTGATGTGGGGTTTTTTTGATTCGATGTTTTTTTTTTCACTTTTGTTTGGGTTTTGTTTTTTTCTTTTTTTTTTTTTGTAAACTAGGCACTGGTTTTGAAAACATGGCCTAGTTTTAAGCAGTTTGCGGGTGTTTCTGTGTATTACTTAGGAGAAAGAAGGGGACTGTAGGAGACTTATGCTGCTGCTTCTCCTTTAGTGTTGCTACAATAGTTACATTATTTGACTTCTCTCATCATTCATCTTATGCTTTAATGAAACTGACTTTTTTGTGGTTTTAGAGAATGAACTTAAAATACTTCTTTTATGTGTGGCAGTTCTAATCTTTGTTTCAAGTGATGAAAAATGTTGTTGAAGTTTTGAAATCCAATATTAAAATGACACTTGTCTTCTGTAAATCAATGAAAATGTTACAATCCAATTCAGTGAGATCATAGCCTTCTCTTTCAAAGGGTACACACAAAACACAAAGCCGAAACCAAAGACTAACTGAGGCTTTTGTAACTCTCAGTGGATAAGGAACATATGACAAATTCAGATTTTGGTTAAGCAAGCTGCTGAGAATGCACTTTTGGCACACAAGTGGGCCCATGAGCTCCAGTGAGACTGTGCAGAGGCTCACATACCTTGCCGAAACAGGAGCTCAATGTTTTCCCATCGGTGGATGAATGGATGCTCTATTGTTAAACAGGATATTTTAATTTTGAAGACTGTTATGTGTAGTAATTATTTCCTTGCAATTCTCACTGCTTATAATTTAGAAAAATCAAAACGCTTTATTGCTGAATTTCTGGGAAGTCTTCACCTTAAGTTCTCCTTTAGCTTGAACATAAAGAGGGATTAAGTGTATGTAATCTCCGTACACTCCTAGTCCTTAAAATATAGGGTTAAAAAGGTTTTGTACAACATAATTTTTTGTCACATTCTTCACACTGTTCAATTTGCTTAAGAAAATAAAGTGTAGAGATGAAAGGGTAATTCTTCTTACTGTTTATTTTGAAATAATTTTCCCTTAAATTGACTGATATTTTCAATTCTGTTTTTCGCAGTTTAGCAACTCAATCACACAAAAGTATTTGCTAAGCAGCAGAATTGTAACTGATTTATAACACATATGTATTGCAGCCCTTTTAGTCACACATTTTAACTATCTTCAGTAGTTTTTTTTTAAAGTGGACAGTATACAAAGTGCAATGAGGCAACATACTTGTGAAATATTGGCACTTCTTGAAGAAATAATATGATGTGTAGACACAAACTTAACTAGAAGTCCCTAAGCCTTAAACTACTATTGAAAAGTAGCTGTAGAGGTTTATAGATTATACTTTATTTACAGAGGTAATAAATCATGCAGCATAGTTATCAGCAAAATTGTGTATATGTGAACATATAGAAGAAAGCCTACTGGATCTTTCTCTGTTCCCTGACAAAGTTTTATACTTTAAGAAGCAATGAAAAATAAAGCATTTTCCTTCTCTCCCTTTAAGTCAGCTGCTGGAGGTGGGTAGAATAAAAACATCTAGATGTACCTATTGCTGTGTACAAGGGAACTGGCTTGTGGCAGCTACACGAGTAGCTGAGCACGGAGTTCATGGTCATCAGTATTTATTTTCTTTCCCATGTAATGCAAATTCAGGGTTAATAAACATAAAGCGAGGAATGTCTGCGGAAACTCCTGCAAAAATTATGACTAAATAATTAAACATAATTTTCTTCTGTTTTAAGGGTGTGAATAATTTTGTGCAGTACAAATTTAGCCACTTACCCTCAAAGGAAAGGCAAACGATAGTGGAACTGGCTAAAATGTTTCTGAACCGCATTAACTACTGGCACCTGGAGACACCTTCTCAGCGAAGACTAAGATCACCCAATGATGATAATGCAGGGTATAAAGTGAATTATACCAGGTAACACTGCTTTTGCACCTTGTCAATTTTTGCAGTCATGGAGTTCATTTGAAAACATTACGATTTCTATATCAGAGTTTCTCACAGATCCATGTGTTTTGAGAGGTGTGCTTTATCAGCCAAGAACATAGAGCAGAGGTCTGTGAACATCTGTATCTGACAACTCCTTTTCAACTCCTGTGTTTGCAAAGTAGCTCTCAGTCTGATTAAGATACAAGCGTCATGGAAGGTTCTTATTTCATGTACTAAAAATTCAGTCAAGTTGTTATTCAACTTGAAAAGAAAAAAGAAAGAGGATAACATTAAGCATTGCAAAATATCTATCACAGCTTGAAACCAAATCATAGAATCATAGAATCATAGAATCGTTTGGGTTGGAAGGGACCTCAAAGATCATCTAGTTCCAACCCCCCTGCCATGGGCAGGGAAACCCAA